CCCAGCTCACTACTCTGACAAAGGAATTCGGAGGAACATCGAGACGGAAAAGGGCATGTGAAAACGGTCGCCTACAGTGATTTTTTAGAAGAAATGGCAAAAAACAAACAAACAAAAAAAAATGCGAAGCTGGAAGGCCAAAAACTGATGAAAATACGTGCAGTTCTTAATAAATAAATAGCAGCATGCACCAGGTAGCCGGTGCAACCACGTGTTTTGCGCAGTTCCGTCCAGTGGACGTTTGCCTGCTAAAAATGTTACTGTTTTACACCTTCGTTTGTGAAAAAACAGCCGATGTGCTGTCTGACTCCTAAGATGAGGAATCTTCTACTGGAAATTTCATGTGCCGGCATACGAAAGCAGAATTTAAAAACACGGATGGAGGACATTCTTTCAAATTCCAGCCTTCCGGTTTTCCAATTTTCGAACTGGTGACTTTCGCATTAAAGCTCTCACGTGGACGTACGCAAGACCTCCGCATAATTGGGAGCTAAATTTGAGTTTGTGAGGTATCTACACAGGTAACAAACGTCCTCCTGAAATTTCAGCCACGCGGCTTTTCTGGTTCTCAAGATAATAGTTTCCTCCACCAAATCTTTCGTGGGGCAGGAGAGATCCAAACGTACATGAAACCGGATTTTAATTCTGCGAGGTCGCTTTCCCTCAAAATTTCAGCTTTTTATCTTTTATGGCTTCCGCGGTAGTAATTTCCCCGCCGAAACTTTCATGCGGGTGGGAGGGCGAGGCGTGATCGAGACTCAGGCTTGACTGAGAACTGATTTGGAATTCATGGGGTTCATAGGCGGATCCAAGGGTAAGGAGGGACAGGGGAGAAGGGGGAGGGGAGGGGGCGAAGGGTCTTTCGCCCACCCACTGCGGCATGCAAAAGCCCGGGTTTGTCTGTCAATAAAACTAAATAGCAGTGTTATAACTCTATTCCAAGTTTTTGCACAGTTCCAGAGTGGGAGGGGGCTCTCCCTACCACACCTCCTGTCGTCCCCTGCTAGACGCCTCCACTCTCTTTCGCCTCTCGCTGCCTCCGCCCAAGAGCTCCGCTCTCCCCTCATTCCCTCGCCCCTTCCCCAGCGGTCCGCCCCGGATCCGCCTATGACGGGTCACACATGCGAAGGAAACATTCTTGTTAAAGTTCAGCTTCACAGCTTTCATGGCTCTCGGAATAATTTTTCCGCCAAAACTTTCATAGGGCTATAAGTGACAACGAAGTGCACAGGAAAATTGAATTTATATTTTCTGGATCGCATGTAGGCAGGGAAAATACCCATAAAATTTCAGCTCTCTAGCTTCTGTGGTTCCCGAGATAATTTTTCTTGCCAAAACTTTTACGGGGCTGTACTTGTTAACCGCAGGCACGGGAAAGCCGAATTTAAATTTGCGCCGTCACACGCTGGTGGGGAAGATTTACTAAAATTTCAGCCATCTAGCTTTTGTAGTTCCTGAGTTGAAGGTGCAGGACAAAATCTTGGACATATATACACAGACAACCGCGTGACAATATGCGCCTGTGCTACTGTTACACAGCGCAAAACGCATAAGAAGTTGAAATAACAACCAGGAAACAGTACTTTATGAGACAATCTTTAAAGCAACCTCAGAAATCAATATTTTTTAAAATACAAAAAAAAATAACCTGATAAAAAGCACACTACAAAAGAATTCAAGGGGTGGAAGGGACGAACATTCTCAAAAAAATGCTTCTTTTTAGATCAAAGGATCTAGAATGACCCTTCCTTTGGTCTACAGATACGATTTCGTTAAAGATGACTTCTAATTGAAATGTCAGGACTCAGTGTGATCCCATAAATGAAAAGCCTGACGACACAGGGGTCATATGTTGGATACCGAAATAAAAAAATTGAAAAGACACAAAAAAGTGCCACGAAATGGTCAGATTAACAAATTCAAGACGACATGGCAAACTAAAACAGTCAAAACTAGAACAGTTCAGTTAAATTAAAATGAGTTAACAAACTAACAGAAACTGAAATAACAACTTGAGTAGTTTGAAAATAATAAATCGTAGTAAAACTTACATCCATCTGGCAGAAGTTGTACGAGGCAGTACTCCGAATGATCACCGAACATCAGGTGTTTTTCCAGTGATCTTTCAATCAGTTCTGCTACCTTATCACCATTCTCTATCTGGAAAGCACAAAATAAAAACTTCTAACGATAAATTAAAGAGAAAAAGATAAAAATTTTCCACATGCTTCCCATAGTTCAATATTAATGCCATTACTGTCAAGAGTTGAAGGCTCCAGCAATAACGGCATTAACATCAATCTCACCAGATCCGGACAGCAGAAGACGAAGAAACACTTTCCACTGAGTTAAATTACTACTCGACTCCCTCCGCGCCCCCTTTCTCCTTTGTCTCCCGTCCTACATACAAGTACACAGAGACGCACAGACATATACCCAAGTGCATGCACATGCACACACACACACACACACACACACACACACACACACACACACAAATATGCACACGTGTCTATACGAACAAATGTTTAATTCTTTCGATGAGTTAAAAAATTTATTATGCTATCTGAAGGTTTTTTAGAATGTTCTCTGGTAACCTTTATGCATTTGTAGTTGGCGCTGCCTGACCCACACTGCAACGAATCGTCCAATGCAACTCGAGCGAGATGAAACGGTGTTGTCTGCGTCAAAGAGACACCGGAAGCGCACGATTCGGATGATGTTTCGGATGCCTGGATTTTTTTAACTGTATCTTGGAGCTATTTTTTCTCAGCCACATATATCAACTGTGCTAGTCGAAATAAAATAATCGCGTGCAACGCTGCCTTTATTTTTCAAGGACGACGGCCTTGCCCGAGGGAGACTGTTTTCAGGTCGTGACAGAATTTCGATTAGTTCCATGGTCTTCTTACAGAGTTGTTTTGAAGGCCCAATATCCCAAAACAGGACCAGAATTGCAAAGTGAGATATCCAGCCATTAGTTCGGAAAAAAATTTTCGAACACACATTCTTAAATAAAGTGAAAATTGCTGGATATCTGAAAGCTGACAAACGGTCTCTCTAAATCTGGTCCACTGCTTGAAAAGAGCAACTGTGCGGTTGCAAAAACACAGCCAGAAATGTCTGATTTAAGATTTTTTTAAAAAATAAAAGCAGAACTTAATGGCATAGGATGATATAATAATTTTAAAACAAAACAGTGCCAGAAAATGTGGCTTTAACTCCGAGTGTTTTTGCATTTGAGCTGCAATATCCGCAGAAAGTTTTATGCGATTAACGCTCAGAACTCTTCCTATGAAAGAAGTATACAAAGACCGTAAGCAGAAAACCGGAATAACCACGCATACAGCGACGAAGTGTGATAAGCCCATGATTTCCCTCAAGAAAAACGAACAATACAAGCAAGCAAACACCAAGACAATAAGCAGTGAAACCAAAATGTGATGCCGCTTTCGGCACTGCAATATCCTAATGTCTACAACTTGATGAACCGGAACATTCCTGCTCATTCAACAAATGTACAACTTGAAGTCTTGCGTGGTTCTCACGTGCGGCTTCGTAAAATTTTTTGGCGGAAAAATGGCTAACTCGGAAAATAGGAAAGCTGGGGGCTGAAATTTTAAAGAAATGTTCCCATCCCCCTGTAAAAGTTAAAGATACCAAATTCAGCTTCCAGACGCGTGTGATTCTCATGTATGGGCCCATGAAATTTTTTGGCAAAAAATTGCTAACTCAAGAACCAGAGAAATTGGAAAGCTGAAATTCTAGCGGAATGTTCTATGTCCAAGTACCGCGTAGACAATTAAATTCCCGAATTCCGAGAACCAGTATGTCAGAAACCCTAGCTATTAAGTTTTCCAGCGATGGTGCAGTCACCACTTGACAGCGATGGTGCAGTCATCAAAACGACAGCCAATCAGTGTAAATGTTTTTGCAGTTGCAATTTAATTTCTCTCGTATATTTGCAGTGAAAGCACCATACTTTATGCAAATATGCTATTTATTCAATGATAATTTTTACCCTGCTCTCGACACCACACTGTCTTTTTGGGCAACCAGCTGAGCGCTCCGAACCCGGTGTCATTTCACTGTTCACTGGTGTTTCACTTCTCGATGCTGCATTTTCCTAAAAACACCTGGACTATGATTCCAGAAACATAATGTAATTAATGAACTGAAAGAATTATCATTGTTATTTCAGCCTTTTCCCACGCTGTTTTGCTTCAGAAAACACTTTTATATCACAAGACGTCCTCAAATATGACAGCTCTAAACCCAAATAGTGCTTCATCCAAGTAACGCCTCATGAGACTACATCTGTTCCCATGCATTTTCTTTTTGTCTCAGCGAAAAATGCGAAAATGCTCTGCATGTGTTCGTGCATAATAGCATTCATAAAAGTCTAAATTTGAGGAATTTTTGCCAAAAAAATTTATTTTTATTTACTCTAATTTCCTGAATTTGCACTTCAAACATCTAAACACACTTATTCCTTATAAAAAAAGCTATGTAGGAACGGGTGGGCATTAGCGCGTACCGACAGTAAATATGTGAACAATCACTTAGAACCTACTTACTTTCCTCATCATGGTCTACGAATGGCGACGCCCGGGAGGATAGCACACATCAGAGACACCTTGTAACTTCAAATGCCTTGACAAATGATTTTGTTAGGAGAACTAATTAATTTGCAGTAAAAACTAAATGAACGTCAGGATCACCAACAGGCCAACCATTACGCAATGCAACATTAGACAAAACAACTGGAGAAATTGCTAGCTGCACTGCAGAACAAAACTATAATAGCTTTCCAGATATCTAAAAAAATTCTATATTTTTTATGTTCCAGGAACAAATTAATTCTTCTATGGCCCCGGTTTCGTTCCAAAAAACTTCATTCCATTTTAGCAAACTTTTGTGCTCCGCTAGTCCAGTTTGGCATATCTCTATCTACAATTGGTGCTCTGTTTCCCCTGAAAGTCGATCCTATCAGTGAACGAAAAACTGGGTTTTTCTTCAATCTCACAAACCAATCAAAAAACAAGATAATAACGATCTGCAGAAAAGACAAATATTGAAAAAACAAAAAAGCGAAAATGTTAATTGTAATAACTACTGAAGCTAATATGCTAAACAAACTAAACTTAAGAATTTAATGTTGGACAACTAATATCTTTTGGAAAGGGAATTTGATAAAACTTTTAAAAAAAAGACGGAATATTTGGAAACTTGCCACAAAGCCATTCGAACTTGCCGGAGTGGCCATACGGAAATCAATAGATTGCTGCTTCTTAGCCGAACCGCTACTAGTTGAACGCCGATGTGTAAATGCGGCACTCGGACTGAATTCGCTACCTTAACATGATCGCTATTAACATTCATCTTACGATCCCTGACTTCTTCGCTCTCCAAAGAAATTTTTTATACTACATTTCTTGTCCGACTTCTCATATCTCTGCATCAGAGGTCCCGCACTTTTGGTAGCACCTGTTCTATTAACTTACGACAGCTCGACCTAGGAGTGACAGCCAATATGAAGTTGCGCTGGAAAATCTTCATTCAATAAATGAGCTGAAGGTCAGCAATATTAGAAGAGATACAATCATAGGATATTTCCAGTTGGAACAGAAAAGCTAGAAAGCAGGGAAATGAAGGTCAGGGGTACCAGCTAACTGGGCACTAAGCTTCGGTCACAGCAAACACGGAATAGCCGCCAGTCGCGACAACGACTTTGAATTGCACTATGATGAAATGACAGTTGGTTAAAGCATCCAAACAAACACTTGCGTGTTAAGTAATAATTCCTCCCTTGGCTTTGCATTTAGCTGCTTAAATTTAGTGTTTTCAGCCCAACTGCTCGCTTCTCAACACAAAAAAGAATTCCGCGTTTCCTAGTTAAATTTGTGTCTCAGTAATCGCATATTATTTCCAACTAGTCACAATCTATTCTGAAGCTGACGAAGGCAAATACATATAGCCAGAATAATCATGGCTCTTTTTATTTTTTCTCATAAGAAGTGACGAATAAGTCGGTAAAACTTGGAAAAAACCGTGATGCACTGGAAGAAAACTGTAACATCTTTCAGCCTTGTTGTACATGCGTGTTATTTGTTCAAATGTTTCTATTGAACTGTTTACGAACTTCTTAAAATATTTCAGTCACCCCTGTCTCCAAACAAAATGTCTGTTTTCCAAAGAAAAATCAATTCTGTCATAAACTTCAAACGAAGCATTCGACTTAGGCCTGTAAAGCTTAGAGGTATTTCGAAATTCAACGTGCTGCTGAATTTTTAATCCAAAGCAGACGGAGGGGGCACTCTTCGATTTTTAGCAAACTAATAAATATTAATTTTGCAATAAAACGTAACCCTTAAGCACTAACCACCTTTCCAGGAAAC